TTGAAATGAACCACACGTAAAAAAGCATGAACGCGGCTGACGGCAAGCTTCGCAATGGCAGGAACCCCGGAGGTTCGGTCGCATTTGCTGAGTGACGACGACGGCTTGGCTTACTGGACGACGTCCGGAAAACAGTCTTTGCTCTGCAGTAGCTGCCAAAGCAGGTACATGAGATAAGGCACGGATGAGATGGAAGAGTCGGCTGCTGGAAGAAAGCAAGCTTGCGCGTCCACTCTAGCTGCTCTCACCTCACATCGCCTTACGTGTATCCACTGCAGATGCATTCACAACGGTTGCGGTTTGCAATGGCGGGAGTTGAGTGGCCATGTCGCCGACGCCGCCGAACTCCATCCGTCCAATCACCAAGCCGAGGGTGAATCAGGATTCAGTAAACATCAAACGTTCGGTAAGGCTGTTGGAAGACACTTGGCCGACGGTGAAAGAAGCAAAGACAGAAAAAGCAGGGAAGCAAAGCGGCCGTGGAACATGTACCCGCCCGGCCGTTGGACAACACAGGTGTGGCTGAGACGCAGCTGCCTGCTCACCTGCGCCACACACTGTCTGAGATAGGTACGTATCTGCATCCCCACCTCAGCCCGTATATCCCAAAGTGGATCCTCCAACAATGCTCCGCAGCCACTCACCGTCCAGGGAACATCCCCCGCGAAATGACGCAACGCACCGCCGGCGCTCCGTGCCCGTGATTCTTCCAGCAGGGACGCTCCCCGCCCGCCTTCGCCCAGCGCAGATGCAGCCTCAGTCAACCGCCGTCTCCAATCGTGCACACTGAATGCCTCACCTCGGAGATAGACCTACTACGCCCATACCGCCTTTACTGCATAACTAAGCAAACATACACCTCACCTCCCAAATTGCTCTTTTTTTATACCACGCAGTGAGTTGAGGCTCGGGCCTTCGTTTCATAACCGGTACCACGCCCGCTTTAGCCCCGTTCTTCAACCCACCTTGCGAAGAGCCGCCTTGAACTCTTGAACTCCCACTGCCATGAACATGCGTGGGTTGGGCTTCAAGAAAACGAAGAAAAAAGATTGCGGTCCCATCGTCCGCCCTATGTTGTGTCTCCCTATCGATTGATTCCTTGGAAGTTACAACCTTCTTCACCTCGATGTCACGCACTTCCCTCGATTCGGGATCTCGAACACGCCCCATATCGCCTGTTCGCAGCCACGCATGGGAAGGTTTGACGCTAGAAGAAATCATGTGCTTTCCGCTTACTATGCCTCCTTCCACACATGAACCCTTTTCCTGCTTCCCATCTCTTCACCTCTTCAGACCAACCTTTTCCACCTCCAAATGCTTAGCAATATGGTCAGCCCTCAACTCAGAGACACGCCGCCAGCCTATGATGCCCTTCCCATCTCACCTGTCCCGAGTAATGCGCACACCTTGGGACTGCAAGGACAGCGTAGTGAACCCAGCTGAGGCCTCCGCCAGGCCTGGTATTGAAAAGAAAATATCCCATCCCAACTTTCCGTTTCAACGCGCCCTTCCGGCATATCCTTGAGTCGGGGGGGCCAAAGTATGTACGGCATGGGCACATATGCGCTAAAGCTGTCATGCCAATGGGCGGCATGCGGCGGGAAACTCTGAGATGTGCCCTGGAGCAGCTGCTCCAACTCCATGGATCAACTAAACTCTATCACGAACTCTTCTCGGCGAAATTGCGTTCCGGGCTCCCGGGAAATACGAGGTCACGGGTTGACGGCGCAGTCGTATCGCGTGACTACCGACAATCACCCTCGGCCGGAGAGGAACCGCGGTGCTCGGAAGCCCGGCGCCGGAGAAAACTAGCCTTTGCCGCAGTCACATCGCGATTCGTTCCCCGCCGTCAAGCTACTGCCGTTCAAGTCGTAGCTCACCAACCACTCCCCAGCCCACTCATGCTCCGGCAGTCTCAGCGCCGGGTTCCGCCTATTAATTCCCCTTGCGAACAGCACTCTGGCGCACGCCGGGTCGAAGACGAACAGCGTCTCGCCGGTAACAGTATCTTTCACTTCTGCAGTGGCCGCGAGCTCGTCAATGTTGATGACGGAGGTCGGGCCGCCTGCCACCGACGCCCACTCGATCTGCGCCTTGACATGCTTTGCAGTATTGGGGTCGAAACGGGTGTCGATGAAGTATAGGTTGTTTTTGCCGGCGGCTGCGACGTAGGGGGAGTCGGGCGCTACGATCTGGGGACCGTGCCAGGCGTCGATAAATGTTGGCTTGTAGTCGCTGTTGCGATATTCTGCTAAAAAGGTTGGCGGGCCGGAGGAAGGTCGGAATGGGTTGATGAGCATGGCGATGAATGGCCCAAATATCATTGCTGTGAAAGAATGGTGAGACAAGGGTTCTTGAGCTGCGTTCCACAAGTCTCTTCTCTTTTCATTCTGGTGGGAGATCCGGGCCCCTTATATTTTCTACGAAGCCAAGGAACGACACATGATTTGGCCGTTGGTTGTCATGATGAATCCTTTAAAGGGAAGGTGCTCCGTTATGCTAATCCTATCGCAGATGCAGGAAGCTGACCATGTCGTGACAAATCGGGATGGTGATCAAATACGAGGATCTAGGGGCCTGTCTGTCAACGACCAACAGTTAATACAAGCTTCAGGCCCATAGGCATACCCCGGCAGCAATGATCAAAGGGGAAGCTCGATTCCAGTCGAAGCCAGCAACCAACACAAACTCCCGGTCCAAGCGGCACAGTCGGGCGTCAACAGATGTGCCCTTCTAAGTTAGGTTGCGTCCCCTGCAGCACCCATATCGACTCACTCGGGAAAGGCCACCGCCAATGAAGAAATATCAAAAGCGCCCATGTAGTCCAAAAGTTCCTCGGCGTCAATTCCAATTTGAGGGCATAAAGAGTGATTGCAGAGCCCCATTCTTCATCTCCGTCACATTTCTTCCCGCCACATGTTCTTGCTCGCCTTATTTCAGAGTTGTTCAAGGTCTTTGAACATTCCAGTTCTCTCTTGTTCCCTCCTTTCTCCCGGCATGTGAAGATTATATTCAAGCGCTGGTGTCATCCTCAAGCACTCTAACGCGTTCCAAGTTCTTCTACAGATGTACTGAGAATTTTCTGAATTACAAGAGACCCTAAGGCAGCTATATGTAGCTATATGCTTAGCCTCATGGGTTTTGCACTCATTCGACAGCTATGAAAGCTGTGCTGTAGAGACGGCCATCTGTGATACAAGACAGAGAATCTTTGTCATTCTTGTGAGGGTTGAAAGGCTGTTTGACTGCAATCCGTATTGCTGATTACCCAACTCGTGCAATCGCGACTTGCAGATAAGAGTCAGCCGTCGTGAAACCACATCAATTGTCGGTGTCCAGTCTCAGTTTCTGAGTATTACCGCAAGAAGAGCTTTTGTCAAACCTGTGCAAGGTTAAGTCTTGCCTAAAGTTCAGTTTCATGACGGTGCAGCGCCTGTCATCTTCGATTTTTAAAGATTGGTGTCTCAGTTTTAAGTTTGAGGAGACACAATCGATTTGATCGAGGGTTTTCACCTTTCAAGATCCTCTGGATGAACTTAACATCACATAAGTGTTAAAATTTTCGTAGCGTGTGGCCTGAATGGCCACAACAACCTAACACGTCAGTTTGTGGTCATCCATCGTGAATACTTTGCATATAGCAGACAAGAAGGACGAGTAAGTATCGGTTCTCAGCAGCAAAAGATTCTGCATTCATCATGCAGCCGCCTAATTCAGATTTCAATACATGTGTGTACGGCCGCTGACGTACCACCCTCACTCCCACCCCTTTCGATCAAACTTGGGACATATCCGGGCCTGTCTCGACTCTACGTTGCATCTTTCTTCCAATTTATATGAAACGTGAAGACTCGAAATATTCTTCGAACTGACTAACAGCATTGAATAAGATTTTCTAAATGTTTAGTTCTCGCAACCAGTTCTTTTGAGACGGAGAAGCAGGCAATAAACTTGTGGCACCAAACCTTTGACGTGATACATGATCAGGCTGAATATGCAAATGTGAAGCCCGAGCAAAGTTGAAATTCTAGTCAGGATGAAATTGTACGACCATTTACCCCCATTTCTCAGCCTTCCTGGCCAAGTATTCGAGCGAGACGGCATCGGGCAGTCACACCGTAGAAGCCGTGAGGCAAAGAGAAACGTGTATTCTTCACCAGCTTTGGTTTATCGCTTTTTAGTCCAAGGTGTGGTATCAAGGCACGTACCTCGACTCATCTGCCGCCTGCGGGTCATATGCCGTCAGTTGAGAGGATATCTGTCGAATGAGCTTTTATAGCTATGCACTCGATCCATTTTACATTTCTAGGAAAAAGAGTGAAGAGGTCGCTTGAAATCACCTGGACGTTATACATGAATCGGAGTCCTTGTGAACCGTAAATTCACAGCATGAAATGTCATAGAAAGTTTACATAACAGTACTGTCGTAACAGCACAGAGGTTGACCCTGCAGCTTCTGAGTCGCCCAGTGAGCCCGAGCAGTCTGCGTCTCAACCGATGGCCATAAAATTTGTTTCAATTTTCTGACATCTTGTAGGACAATGAAGTATTTCGAGTTATTTCTGATCTGTCTTCATTTCGTTTACTCGCAACTTGTCTGGTGGTTTGTAATTCCAGGAGTGGATGTTGTGGAGCGCCCAGTCCAGTACAGCGTTCAACACAGCTGACTGGAACGGCGGGGGACTCTTCTGGACATTGGTACCAATTCTATAACTACATAACTGTCACTCTTTAGAACAAATCAATTTAACCAAAGGATGTACCCTGTGATTCAAGTCACGGAGTCACACCCCCCATCAGACCTAGGCCCAGCAACTGGTGAAAGTCGAGTCAAGTACCGCGTTATCTCATACACCTGGTATATGCATATCGATAAGCTCCCGCGATGTCATCCCATTCCAGGGTCCAACAGCTAGCTCTCCATCCATCCCGCAGCTCCAACATCACCCACCCAGAAGAAACCGCAACCTCCTCAAGCTCACCAAACCAACAATGCGACAATGACAACACCACGCCCCTGGACGCCCCCCCTCCTCCTCCGAATCCGCTTCACAACCTCCCTCCCCGACCTCGATCTCGACATCCCCTCCCCCTCCCAAACAACAGTCGCCGCCCTCAAACACCTCATCCGCTCCCGCCTCGCCCAGCCAGACTCCCAGCGCCGCCTCCGCTTCATCCACCAAGGCAAGATCCTCCCCGACGCGTCCGCCCTCTCCTCCGTCCTCAGACCCCTCCCGCCGCCGCCCTCCTCAACCTCCGGCACCCCGACAACACCCTCCTTCCCGAGCGGCGGCTCCGCAGACGACCCAAAGGGCAAGGGCAAAGCAAAAGCCCACGACGCCGCCCCGCCGCGCGTCTACGTCAACTGCAGCATCGGCGACAGCCTCACCGACGCCGAGCTCGCCGCCGAGGCAGAGGCCGCCCTCCTCGCGCCCTCCGCCCAGCCCAACTCCTCCTCCGGCACAAACGCGCCCGATGGCCATGGCTCGTCCCCCAGCGGGAGCGGCCAACCCCAGGCCCAGCAGCGCCCGACGCCCCGCGGCTTCGACAGGCTCCTCAACGCGGGCTTCACCGCCGCCGAGGTGAACGCGCTGCGCCTGCAGTTCCGCGAGATCCGCGCCGCGCAGTACACCCCCGACACGATGCCGAGCCCGGACACGATGCGCTCGATGGAGGACGCGTGGATCGACACCAACGCCCAGGGCGCGCTGCCGGGCGGCGCGGGCGCGGGCGGCGAGGGCGGAGACGGCGGCGGCGGCGACGATGCGTTTGGCGTGATGAGCGGGGTTTTGGACGTGCTGATTGAGGGCATGATTGTTGGGTTCTTTTGGCCGCTCGGGTGTCTTGGATGGCTTTCGAGGGAGGGTAGCATGCTTTCTGGACGCTGGCAGGATTTCATTGGGTTCGGCGTGACTTTGAGCATCATTATTGGCGTGATCAGAGCATTTTCGGGAGACCGGTGAGGGCATGGCATTGGTGAAGAACATGCATTTTAGGTACGGCGTTAGGTTGTGGCTTTATGATACCAGGGCATCGCAGGATGGAGGCGAAAAAAGGACATGATGAGACTGCCTGATCTTCCTGTGTCTGCGTGACTATATTTTCTGTGTAGCCCCTGACTTGCTCTGATTAAGGACAGCAGTAGAAGGATGATAAAAATAGAGGCGACAGCGACGACGACGACAAGGGACGACGTGGGCAAGAGACGACGTGGGCAAGAGACGACGTGGGCAAGGGACGATGTGGGCAAGGGACGACGTGGGCAAGGGACGACGACGGGGGACGACAACGATAACGATAACAATACCGACAGCGAAAGCAACGGTGATGACGACGATAACACTAGCAATGTAGCAGTATGTCTGAACCCCATATGGGCGGCTTCGACACGATCACATACATATATGGAGCAAAAAAGGGCCATTACTGCTTCATTGGTGGCCATGGAGTCAGGACTGTTTTGCAAGCCTCTTACAACCCCGTATCCGCGCACACAAAGATTCTACATGGTATAAACCTCCTAAACCGCCAACGCCTTTTTGGAACCCCCGAGGCTACATAAACAAACGACAATGCTAGGGGTAGACTAAGCTGCTGAACCAAGGAGAGACGAACCCAAAACAAACCTTTTAGAGGTACAAGCTCTGGGCGGCAACAATGTCGCGGCGGACCTTGGCCAGACTGTCCTCGAACTTTTGACAGAGCTCCTCGCTACCCATAACCTTGGCACCCTGACCCATCTGGCGCATGAGCTCTTCCAGACGGCGGAAGAGACGGATCAGGGATCCTTCGTACGCGTTGGTCATTTTGCTGGTGGTGGTGGTGTTAGTGCGTAAATCACATTGCTCGGGTGGGATTACATACCAAATATCTGCGAATGGCTTGCCCTGGGCCCATGAGTATACAGTCTCCATCAACTGCCACTTGAATCCAGCCAGGTATTCATCCTCGTTGAGCTCAAGCTTGCTCTCTCTGCTAACCTTGGCGACCTGCTTCGCCTTGGCCTGTACCTCGCGGTAGGGCTTGGCCAGTTCCTCGCGGAGGGCTGCGGTCTCAAGCTTCTCGTCAAGGACGAAGCAGCTGAGAACGGATGCGATCATCTCCGGGGAGAGTTCGTTGAAGAAACGGTCGAATAGGAGTTCGGCCAGAACAAGTTCGTGACCCTCAGTGGATGAGATTTCGCAGGCCACACGGGCCTTGAGCTCAACGACCTCATTCTCATTGAGGAAACCAAGACGGCGTAGGACACGCTTGCGCCCCTTGAGCTCGTCCATCTGAGCAATGCTGTGAAGCCTCGCAATCTCCTTCTTCTTGGCCTTGATCTGCTCGCCCAGCTTCTCCTTGGCACGGTACTGCAGGTAGAGCTCGGGGAGAAGGGGAGATCCGTGGAGAGGGTTGGTGATCAGACGAGCCTCCAACATCTCAATTTTCCTCATAAGAGATCTGAAGGAGTCGTCGGTGATGCCCATGTTCTCAATCGGGTCGAGGCTAGGCACTCCGTCAGGAAATCTTCTGCAGACCTCTCTGAGAGCATTGCTGGCCGCCTCAATACCCGCTTGGCTCTTCGGCTCCTTCGGCATGAAGATTCTGATTTGACTGATATTCTTGATGCAGGTCAAGAGGCAAGGAATGATCTCGAAGCGTGCACCTTCGCCAGGCTCGTCGGGCTTAGCGCAAGGGATCATTCCGGGGGCCATGTCGCCAGACGAAGGGCGCTCATTTACCTGAGGAGCCGGCTTGCTCTTCTGGTCGACGAACATCATGACGTCGATGAAGTAGGTCTCTTGAGGGGGGTACTCGGGTTCTCCAGGCTTGTTCGCCTTACGCTTTGCCAAGTCACAGACAACACCCCAGCCGTAATCGGTACCGCCCAGAGTAGTGTTGGTCTTCTTTGGGTCGTGAATTCTGACCAGGCGGCCAGGCTGCATGAAGTCTATGCAGTAGTCTGGGTGCTGAATCACGGCGCGCATGTCGCTGGTGTATTGCTCGAGTTGGTTCCGCAAATTATAATATTCCTTGACGGTGGCCTCATCGGCAATGGACATGGCATCCCTCTCCTGCTGGAGCGCCATCAGGTCGCGCTCGAGAGCGGGAACACTGGCACCGGTCTGGAACTGGTGGAAGCAGCGCTCGAGCATGAATTCGGGAGAAATGGCCTCGATTCTGAGGAGGTTGAGGATCATGTTGTAGCCGAGGTAGAAAGCAGAGTTGAGACGGTCCTGCTCACCAACAACGATAGCGCGTGCGGTGTCGGGCTCCATCTTGTCGTCGATCATCATGATGACGATACCACGGGAATCCAGGCCTCTACGACCAGCGCGACCAGACATCTGGATGTATTCTGATGGAGTCAAAGGTCTTCGCTTAACGCCGTCCCACTTGGTCACTTGAGTGAACACAACAGTCTTGGCAGGCATATTGAGACCAATAGAGAATGTCTCGGTCGCAACGAGGACCTTGATAAGGGACTCCTGGAAGAGAATCTCAATGGTCTCCTTCAAGATGGGGAGAAGACCGGAGTGATGCACACCGATGCCCTTCTGCAGCAGAGGAAGCAAGTTCTGGATCTGGGGGAGCTCACGATCAGCTTCGGATAAGCTCTGAATAGCGTTATTGAAGACAGTCTTGACCATGGCCTGCTCGGAGTCGTTGTTGAACTGGAAGTGGGAGATGTTCAGGGCCAGATTCTCGACCTCCTTCTTGCTGAAGTTGAAGATGATAACAGGGTGGAAGCTCTTCTGCATGATCATTCTGACGATCTTAGAGATGTCGGACTTCATGTCGGCTGCCTGGCCACCCTTTTGAGTGTTCTTCTTGGCACCCTTGCCCTTCCAGTTGGCGTTCGCGTTGGAGGGGTCTTGACCCTTGCCCTGCTCAACCAAGGCCATGGTCTTCTGAAAGTTGCCCTCTCTGAAGACACCCTTCTCGTCCACCACCAAAAAGATACCATTGCCGCCAGAGGGGAAGAAGTAGTTCTGAAGAGGAGTGGGTCGGAAATCGGTGTAGACGACGTGACACGCTTGGTGGTGAATCTTGGCAATCCACTCGGCGAACTGGAAGGCGTTCGGGATGGTGGCGGACAGGAATACGTAGCGAACCTTATCGGGAAGAAGAATGATCGTCTCCTCCCAGACCACACCTCTCGTCTTATCTCTCATGTAGTGGATCTCGTCGAAAACGACCCAGGCAACTTCGCGCATGATCTCGGAACCGCGGTACAACATGGAGCGCAAAATCTCGGTGGTCATGACGAGGCAACTGGCGGTGGGGTTGATCGTGACATCACCAGTCATCAGGCCGACGTCGCCAAACAGAGCTTCGAAGTCTCGGTACTTTTGGTTGGAAAGGGCCTTGATCGGACTCGTGTAGATGACGCGCTGATTCCGCTTCAAACATTGAGCGATCGCGTACTCGGCGACAACCGTCTTTCCGGCAGACGTGTGGGCAGAGACCAGCACACTCTCCTCTCTCTCGATCGAAGCGACGGACAGCGCCTGGAAAGGATCGAGCTTAAAGTTGTATTTCCGCGCGGGCTCCGCCGGGGGCTTGTGCTCTGAGAGAGGAACGTATTCGTAGTCCAGATCAGGGGGCAAGGCGACCTGATGCTGGATGTTGTGGGACAGGACGAGGGACTCGTCCTCGGCCTTGGTGAAGGTAGCTGCGCCGGCGACCTCTCGGGACTCGGCGGTCTGGAAGGTGTCGGTCAGGACGGGCTGAGCTTCGTCCTCCTTCTTTCGGCGCTTGTGACTCTCGTGCTGGTCGTCGGAAGTGGCAGCCGCATCATCGGCGTCCTCTCCGTCCCTAGAGGTCTCGTCGGCGTCTGGCATGTCGGCATCCTCTGCCTGCGTTGGGGCGACACCATTCTTGATCTCGCCGTCGGCCTTGCGCTTCTTGCTCTTCTTATCCTTTTTGCGCGACTTGGGCGGCTGAGACGCAGCAGACACCTCGGGCTCGGCCTCACTGGGCGACTCGTCGTGAGCCCCAGCAGGAGCGTCGAAAACGTCGAAAAGCTCGTCCATGGCGGGCGGCTTGGGTGGGGTGACAAGTGTACTGACAATGGTAGTGTGAGTATGCTGGTAGAACAATTGTCTTAAAGGGATGACAGCGATGACAGACGACGACTGTGGACGACGACGAAGGTGGACGACGGCGACGACGACAACAACGGCGTTAGTGGTGAGAGACGAGAAGGAGCTCTCTCGATCTTGCCTGCTGCGATCGCAATCACAGGTGCCAGGGAAAAAAAGTTAGAGGTCAGTGCACCTGGAGGGTGGGCCAACGGGCAGAAAAGGAAAGAAAAAAAATCGGCAATGGCTCAGGGCGGCAGGCGGTCGCGCTCCTACCAGTTGCAAATCCCGACGGCCGGACTGGACGTCACACCGCGAAAGAGTCACGTGCGCTTATCTAATAGCATCCCGGCCTGAGGATCTTTGGAGCTTAGCCGGATCACACCTCAGACCACCCTTCTGAATGACTTCAACACCGTAACGAAACCTCTGTCTCCCCCAATTGCGCGTCGCGATCGCCTCAGAACAACCCGCCAAAGTACACACGGTCTCCCCCGAGCTTCGCGCCATCCAATTGATGCTGACCTGCCGCCCGTAGATGCTCGCCCGTGCCGCTGCCCGCGCGGTCCCCCAGACTCGCACCGTTGTCGCTCGCCGCGGCTTCACCACCACCCGCGCCCAGATGAGCTCTCCCTACCACTACCCCGAGGGCCCCTACTCCAACATCCCCTTCAACCCCAAGTCCAAGTGGTTTGGCGCCGGTTTCTGGACCTACTCTGCCGTCGGCTTCTTCGCCCCCTTCGGCATCGCTGGTGCGTCCTTTTTTCCGCCCCTCCGGCTTCTGCCGAACCGATATCGAAAGTGCTTGCTAACGAGGGGACAGCCTGGCAAACTTACAAGCCCAAGGTTTAAATGGGCACAATCGCTTTTTTCTTGAGTCGATCGCGAGTGTACACCATGGAATGAGTTGGACCCGGGGGCGGCTTTGTACATGAGCAGAAATAGAGCATTTCGCCCTCAGCGATTCCTTTTCACCACATTTTACACCAATATGTTTCTGCAAGTGACTGCAACCCCGCGCTCTGATGATCTCATATTACGATCCTGCGAGTTGGCTACTGAACCTCGCACAATGCCACGACCATCTGCTAGATTGCATGCCAAGGTAGGTAGATGTGAAATCATATTTTACAGTTATTGGTATCATGGTCTATAGTTGTAATGTTTACACGCGCCGATGCCTAATGGACTTGGGCTTCGGGACGAATTTCGGGAACACTGTATGATCCTTCCCAGCGAGCAAAAGACTGACGTACGAGTCCAGGAACTGGGCCTGATCCTCGCCCAGTAGCCATCTCGACTTCAGTTGATCGTACACATCCAGCACTGCTTGGTGACTTTTGTTGCACTTTCTGTAGGCGCGGAGAGCCCAGATAACGAGCCATGTGTCGAGATAGATACCCTCGTGTGCGTCGTTCGCCTGGCTCTGCCAGGGTGTATTATCGAGAGCCGTCAAAAGCGATTGAAACACGGCATTCAAACGCCTCGGACTCCATTCACTCTCGAAAACACCACCGTGAGTCACAAATGCCTTGAATAGCATGATGAAGATGCTTCCATGTACGGGAATCTGGTACGTCTTCATCTCGTCCAGGTACTGTGCAATCCTCTCGAGGTTGCCTCCCTTGGTCCCGTAGTGCCTGATGAGGACTTTGTAAGTCTGCAGATCCGGCCTCATATCCGAGAGCTCCTGCAGCTGCGGCCGCATCTCCGGGACGTTCTTGGAAACCGTTGTGAACATCTTGAGAACCTGAAGGATCATGCCGTTCGTGTGCCAGTGCCGGTCGGGGAAGTGGGCCGCCTTGGAGTGTGCCTGCTTCATGTGCTTGTAGACCCTGTGGGCTGCGGCCTCCTCGCCGCATCGCAGGAAACTCGCTATCACGCAGTTGAGAACAGTCGAGTCCACGAGCTCGCCGTCCTCAACCATCTCTTTGTACGCGGCCCGTACGCCGTCCCCGTCCCCTTGAAGGCCGAAAAAGTGTATCAAGCTGACGTGGTGGTACCGGGTGAACTCGATATTCCGGGACCGCATCTCCTTGTATATCATCTCCGCCAGCTCAAAATTGCCAGACTTGGAAGCAGAGTCGAAGAGAATGTTGAATGTGACGTCGTTGCCTTGTACTCCGGCATCCCTCTCCATCTCCTTCCATATTTGCAGGGTATGCTCGGTCTCCGTTGTGGTCGTGAGACCGACATATCGGCTTGCTAGCGACAGAGCAAAGTTCCACTCGCTGCGTCGCAATGGTATTCCACTATCCTTGACCTCCCCGATGAGGGAAAAGTAGCGCAGCATCGACTTTGAATTTCTCCTCACTGGTGTGCCGAACGCTTTGAGCAACCGATGTCGCAAGTGTGCTGGCATCTGAATCATCCTCGGCTCCGGCAGCGTCAAGTACAAGTCGTATATGGCGTCCAGGCTTATCCTACTAGGATGCCACAGCCTTACATTCACAGCCTCGTTAAGCCTCTGCAGCAGCTCACCTAGGCTTTTGTCGTCGCGGACTGCTTGCTGTAATGATGGATACCGGTTGTCCGCCTCCCTGTCGCTGATTTCGATTTTGGAGGGCTCGGGCTGGGCGAATCGGTTCAAGTATGGGTCCCGTGCGAGTTCCAGGTGTTCCTCCACCGTCCCCGCGTTGCGTACATCGACATTGCCGACGAAATGCAAAAGTTTTCTCTGTTGCGTCTTGCTCAGAACCACCTTCGTGCTCGATTCGGACTCGTGATCCGAAGCGGCGGCAGCGGCATTGCTGTATCGCTGTACCCGTTGGCGGCAGGGCAGGGCTTCGTGGGGAGGGGCGGATCGCGGCCGTCTGGAGGGCGCCGGCAAGAAGGTGGACAGCAGCCACGAGGCCGTCTGCGGGCAGTGCGCTCCGTGTGTGCGAGCATGTCTATGGAGATCACGGCGGCAACGGGGAGCAGCCGGCGCCCTCGGAGGTCTTGTTTCGTCTCGGAGCTCGGGGCGTAAAGAAACTGCAGCTGCTCGGGTGGCAGAGGGTCGAGTCGAGAGGATCGCGCCGCATAAGGACCCGTCAATCCGGCTGAGAGCTTTCATGGGCTGTCGTGCATTGCGGCCCAGAGAGTCACCGTCCCATCCAAGAGCGCGAGACGGCGGTCAGTTGGGAAGACAGGAGGAGCGGAGAGGCGAGGGAAAAAGGCCAACGGCAAGGTTAAGAAGCTTGAGCTGGTTGACCAAAAGCTCCAGGATGATTGGATTGGGAATTATTTCGCAGTGGGTGGGGCCGTGCCGGCCGGCCACGGCGTTAGGATTGGCCGACCGCTCCAAAATTCTGAGCTGCACTCTGGACCTCAATTCGCGATTGGAGCTTTGCAGCATCGAGTCTGGCCCGGGGTCTCGACAGCAAACTCCCTGAACAAAATAGTATGTCCCAATTGACAATTTACGTGGTGATGCTTTCGACTGACACCTTTCGCAGGCTACCATGGGTCGACAAATCCGGCCTGCAAGGGTCTACCAGGCCATGGGCCTGGAGATCAAATCCAGAGTCCTCCCCGGCTACCGCGTCCAAGAGCCGCCATGGTTCCAGGCCATGCGCGACATCCCGCCCGCCGAGTCGCTCACGAGGCCTATCACCAACTACGACGCCCCCGCCAGCTCCAAGCAGCGCAAGCCGCGCAACATCTACAAGCCGCCGAGGATAGTGCACGAGGAAGATGCGCTGCGAACGACCTTCTACAGAGATCACCCGTGGGAGCTGGCACGCCCGAGAATTGTTCTAGAGACGGACGGAAAGGACTACCAGAGATGCGACTGGAGCAAGGGCCTGCGCCAGCCCGGTCTGCCATTGACTGGTGAATGGTACGCTGATCAGGTGATGCTTCATCAGTTCATAGCTAACGCCCACCCAGTGTCGTCCAGCGCCAGCTATATTTCATGCACAGCCACGGCATGTCCAAGGACAAGGCATACGATACCGCGAGAAAGGAGTTCTACGCTCTGCGTCAGGAAGAAGAGATTGAGAAGCGTGTCGCCCGCGAGGAGGCCAGACACGTGGGTGCGTACTTTGGCAAGAACAAGCTGCAAATCGGCCAGGACTTGGAGGACAAGGAGTTCGAGACATGGAAGGGATGGGCCAGCCAGCGCGCGCTTCTGCTCGAGGCATCTCGTACAGCTAGCTACTCTACCTTTGGCGAGGAGGAGAAGTCTGATGATGCTGTGGAAGCAGATGCCGAGGCGGAGGTTGCGGAGGCGTAAGCAGAGCGCGGCGGCTCCTATAAGCACATGTACCACAAAAAATCTGTATAATATGGCATGCCTCATAACGATTGGTGACCATTATGTCTCTATTTTTGGATATGCGTTCTCCGGCCTGTCACCGGGCGTCTCAGTCAAAGCGGGGTCGCTGAATCGGACTGGCGTCAATATCAGCGATAGTCGACGTTTGTGTTGGAAAGTCAAGTCTATATTCTTCTTGATCTTCTACCGTCTTCGAATCCTTGTGACTGCTTGCCAGCCAGCATGGTTACGTCTGCCTCTGCCCCACGACCATACAACCTGCATTGGTGACACCGTACGCCTTGGCAACCTTCTCGTGCTGTACGAGCAGCATGTCCGCGATGCCAGTACGATGGAACAGCTTGCCCGTCAGGCTGAGAGTGCGGATCCTGGCCCACGACTCGATGAACAGGACCTGTGCGGTATCTTCGGGGATGACGCAAAAGATTTTGAGCAAATACACAACCAACCCGACAATGAACCCCGTCGCGGGTCCATTGGTGAGAATGATGTCGGGGAACTGCTGTCGCTTCCGTGCGCCGGTAAAGGGGGACGACAGAAGCAACGGGAAGATCTGGATGACAGACAGGATGGCGGTAAAAGGAGTCGTGAGGAGGCTTTGGTGAACCTTGCGGGCTCGGGCAACGATGTGGAAGTCGTAGGTGCCAGCCTGCTGCTCGCCATGCGTAGCCATGAGATCCTGCTCGAATGCGTCCAAGTGCTTTAGGGACATGGTGTCACCACTGGAGATGAGATACCGTCGGTGCATGTTGGGAACGTGGGGGAAGCCAATCTCCATCATGGCGAGCATCTCTTTCGTGTGGCCGCCTGAGCCAAGAACGACCAGGAAGTACGCTCCCCTCAGAACCCCTGAGCTGGCTTGATTGACAGCATTGGAGAGTCCCACTGGGCGTCCGAGACGGCCTCGTTGAATTTGCAGATGGCGGGTCTGGAGCTAATTAGCTGATGGTATTTCTGTAACAGAGCAATTATGAGTATTTACCGTGACGAAAATAAGGAGTGAGGCGACACTCAAGAAGATGGTGGCCAGGGTAGCTTTCCAGGAGGATGTCATGACCAGGCTCAATGCAAGGGTGGTGAGCGCCCCAACGATGAAAAGCAGGGTTGATGCAGCGGGCTTGCCATCTCTTGCCATCTTGAGGGAATTCGAAGTATCAGGATAGCTGATTGCTCGCCACCATTCCTTTCTGTGAGATGGCTGTACTGGTGGATCGTCGTGAGTTTGTGTCTAGGTAGGTGGATATATGAGCAACGTGTTTTATTCGCTGGCAGGAGCTTTCTGGTTTGAAGTATACCTCAACCGTCTAATTCGCTAAATTTACTGTACTACAGGACTTTCATGATCCTAGTGTAGATTCGAAGAGAGAATTAAGGAAATAATGATGGTTGTAGGTGTCCTCTCCTACTGACTCTGGATCTTCTATTGAGATCCAAAAGGAGAGGTGATTTCAGGTGAAAAACGCTCAGTGTCGATGTGCCTCCATCAGCTGTTAGTGCAGGGTCCAGAGCCTCTAAGATTGTTGCTGGAAGAGTGTGGGGAAGCCTTGAAAGTCCCTGCAGAATGCCAATTTTGGACAATGGCACCTGCCATCTAGCGCAAGCTGTTAGTACAGGCCACCACGAGGTTCCCGACACGCAAAGAGGAATGACCTCATGTTCCTGCTGGTTCCCTGGGATCCCTGCCCTTTCCCCTGCATTCCTTTGCAACGCCCGCCAGACCGCCCGGCAGAACGTGGAAAGTTCCCAGCGAACAACAATTATCGGCCAAACACCTCGTCCCGCCAGCCTGCATAAATGCATTGTCCAGGCCGAGGAGCCTCCCACCTCAAAGAGCAATGGCACAATTACGAGGGCGCAAACTTCTGACCTGCTTCTACTGCGGAAAGCGCTCCTCGACGCGCTACGACGGCTTCATTCGCGAGTTCCTCTGTCTGCATTGCGATGCGACCAACTACCTGGACGAGGTGAGTCGACCTGGCGCATCGTGAGGTGTGGCTTCATCTGACGAAACTGCTCTTAGCATGGCGACATCACCGATCCCCCCGTCGCGAAGACGACGTCTACACCAGCCCCGACGACCTATGCGATACCGCGGTCACAGTCGCCCGACTTCTCCAGCCCCTCACAAAGCATCTTCTGCGCGACGTGCCTGAAGAACCAGCACCTGTTCACAAGCTCCCTAGCGCAGTACCTTCCCGACGATCCAGATCACCCCGAATATGCGGAACTTGAGAGGAATATGTACAAATTCCGGAGGGGCCTCGAGCAACGGTACCCCCAGATTTGCGCCGAATGCGAACCGAAAGTCCACGCCAGGCTGGACCAGGCCGGCTACACGGCGCGGACGGATCACTTGCGACGGATGATGGACAGAAGTCGACAGAATCGCACAGTCAAGAAGACTACGCCGTTAGATGTATCAGCGAAGGCTGGGAGGTGGCTTTGGCTGGGCGGGATTGTGTGTCAGTACATATGGCATCTCGCGTCCCTTGCGGCTGTCTTCGCAGGCCAGGACGAAGGACCTCTCCGAGATCCTGACGCAGAGTCAACATGGATTCAGAGGCTATCTCTGGCGCTGACACTGGTCCTGCCCAGACCTGAGAGACTGATTTACTGGAGTCTCTGGGCGAATGGGCTGAGCGTGTGGTGGAATCCCAAGTTCGCGCAGGTCTTCCGTGGCTTTTCTCGCCATATCCTGGGGTTGGGCCAGTGGTACACATTCCAGGGCCTGATTCTATTTACGCGATTTATGGCGATGAAGATGACAGAGATGAAGGGTGGTCGTTCGACAGAGGAGAGCGCACAGATGAGCCTTCACGGGCTGATGGCGTTGTTGATGATGGCGGTCAGTAGAAAGGACTTACCGCGTCGAAGGAAAGGCACTAACATGAATATAGATCTATGTCCTCGCACAACGATCAGTCCGTATCGATACGACTCCTCTATTCCAGACGACCTCCTCAGCAACAGGCACACCAGCAACAGGAACGCCAGCGTCATCCCCACCCAGACCGCGAACGCAACGCAAGGAGGAGGGTACCAAAACCATGTCGAACCTGCTTGACGATATTCTGGCAGAGTCAAGTTCGGGACCAGGCATCCCTCCGAGTCCAACAAGCGTCGGCTCCAGCTCGCCAGCGCTCTTCCAGCGGGAGCTGCAGCATAGGGTGAGCAACCGCAGCTTTGGATTTGGCACCCCTGAACCGCAGGTGCCGCAGTCTCAGGTGCAATACTCGGAGGAAATGGACTGGTCGCCTACACAATCCAAACACCGAGCTTTCAACGACTTTGGACCTCCAAAGGCGCCGAACCAGGTATTCGGGCAGCCTGAGCAAGGTCCAAATTCAAGCCCGTTTTGGTACAAGGTGCCTCCCGCGCCGATCGCCCCCGCACAGCGCCTTCGCAACGGGCCAAAACCGCTCTTGACGAAACCGGCTGAGAGGAAGTCCATCTTCGCGACGAGTAGCATGCAAGGGGCCAAGTCATCGTCAGGTGCCCAGAAGGAGGGTCTACAGGACGTGGCATTTGCGCAGCCCACGTTCTTCGCGCCCTCGGCGTCCAACCCTACCGATCCGCGCAGCTCACTCGCCGATCTTCTCAACACAAGCTTCAGCCTCAGCCAAGACGATGAGGACCAAGACGTTCACGGCAACGTTCAATCAAGAAATCGCAAAGCTCAGGCAGCGAACGCGGGGTCGCTGGCGAGGAGTGCCAGGCTACGGAACAGCCGCCTGCTGGACGTTTTCACCTTGGCGATCCTCCTCGCCGCGTGGCTCCACGCGACGTCTGCGTCATATCCGTATAGCCGGGACGTGATGCTCGGCGCGATGATGCTGACGATGGCTACTGCCATCCACCTGACGGGGGACGCGATCAGAACGATGCGCCGCGAGCCGACGCCCAGCTGGGCCTCCATCATCAATACGTCGCTGGGCATCGGCGAGCTGGCCGTGGCGTGTCACTTTGCGCTGCAGATTTGGGACAGTCGCATGTCAGGGCCGACGTCGAGCCTCCCCGGCGCCGCGGTCATTGGCGGGATGCTGGTTCACGAGTTGTGGAACGCGGCATGCTGAGAGCCGCTCACTGTGATTGTCAGTTTCGGAGGCCGTGGGACGGAGCATTTAGATGGGTAGCATGAAGCATAACATAAGCATTGATTTTTGGCGTTTGTAAGAGTCTGGATAGAAGGGCGGGATATACATCCATCCGCGTGGCAGGCATTGTCCTAGCGACCAACATGTACACTCACGGCCGCATTTTCTCCTCTGTTGACTTTTCCCCTTTCTTTTCTCCTGTACTGCTGTGTTTGTATGGAAAGAGCACGAATACTTTCGGAGGGGTGTCGAACAGTGACACACAAGCTGGTACGCCAGCTGGGTTTGGATAGAAATCGAGATCATGCACGCTACCGGCATCTTCCCACGCGTCCTCTCTACTTAGTCGTGCTAGTCTCTGCATCTACCGCTTCCCCGGTGATTGAGGTTTCCTTTGTCTAACCCGAGTTTTAGTGGAGAAGGGGGGGAGACATCAGCTTGTTCGGTCGAGCCGGACGCCGTTGGATTACACAGCCAGAACAGACAGCTGCTATGGAGATACCGATTACAGTCGAGTCAAGACCGAATCCCGCCGCGCCGGACTTAATTGTTAAGCATCGCCGCGGGCGGGGATCGGTGGGCACTTGCTACGCAGCGCCAGTTAGTAAGGAGCCTTTCCGAGGACGCCGGGGCGGCCTTTGGGGAGTAAACAAGTTTTTGGCAGCGTTGGTTTGTGTTTTGTTGGCGGACGCCGTCGTGGGCCTTTTTGGGTCGTTCATCGCATGGTTTTGGCAGTAGCGCGTGAGGCGGCGCTGGGACTAGAGGCGTGTCCGGTGTTCTGTGGAGGAATACGGTACCTCAGGCACTGGAGGGGAGTGTGAAGTGAGTTTTGGCAGCTGTGGGTTTGGTGGTTGCTGGATTGGGCCATTTAGGACTTCAGCGCCGAGATTGCGGCGAGAGTGGTAGACGAGGTTCACGAAAGTGACCATCCTGTCAAAAATAAACATTGGCATTTTTTTTTTCTGCTGTCGTGTGCAGCAGCTGTGGAACCGGGCACACGACAGGAAAGCATGACTGCCTGCCGCATTCGCATAGTCTTTACGGCGTTTACGCAGTGTCGCGGTTTATTGCATGGAACCCTGATCGTTGTCCAGTGACAGACAGACTTCAGTTACAATTTTTTTTTTCTCGTTGGCTTTGCTCCCCTTCGGTGCCGAAAAGGCAATCTCGCCGGAGGGGCTTCGGTGAGTGAGATCAGCCTAGTTCTCCGAGGGGGGTGGACAGGACCCCTTGAAGGTTCGGAGTTTGGACATTGAGGTCACTGACAGTGACTGACACGGTTCTCTGTAATTTTTTTTTCTTCGCATGGTTCGGATTTGGTCCCCGTTGAACCCGTTTGCAGGGTCCATTTGGAGTGGTGCCGGTATCCGGGCAGGCTACGTGCACACATGTAATACTCGCTGTTGGTACTATTGGAGTACTCATTGTCAGATGGGATGCGATGTTCAGTGCCTGGATTTCTTGTGTAACTGGTGATGACAGAGCTGAAGGGATGGTTCCTTGATTCGGGCTAGCTGGGCAGTGAAAACGCGAGACTGAGAGGAGGACGGCGTCACTGGTGTTGTGACGGAGGCGGCTCGCGTGGGGTGGTGATGAGGTAATCCCTCCATCTCTCTCCCTCCTGTCTCTTGCTCTCGCTTATCCGGTACCAGGAGGTTGGGTTTGATTGTCCGCATTTCCTGAGGCCGCGGATGCAAAAACACAGATGGGAATGTCGGGGTTCATTGGCATGTGACGTAAGACGGTGTCAATGGCCATTTGGACAGTTGTGATACCTAGAGGGCTGCAGGGCTTCTTCTGGAATGAGAGAGAAAAAAAGCCCATGTGTCGGAGGATGTCCAAGAGGTGCGTCTTGTCCCGGCTGTGGTGACGACGGCCAGGCCAGATGCGAGCCCGAGACTGGACGAGGAATGTACCGGGCGGTTTCGCACAGAGTCGAGATGACTCTTCCCTTCGCTTCCCTTCCCTTCCCCCTGTGCGGGTAGGTGACGCCACGGTCGTTTTGAGGCTTGACTGGCGGCGATCAGAGACACAAGTATGGCCACGCCAAAGTGTCTCTGGGGATCGAAACGAGGCTGTCGATGTGGCTGGGTGTCACTGGCGCACTGGTCGGAAGACGGCGGCGCCTGCAGACGACTACACGACCCTTCATTGTGCAGGAGCTCCAGCTGTCAAGCTCAGGCATGAACTTGAACATTGTGCGAGTCCCTCTTTCTCCAGAATCCAGGGGAAACAAGTGCTCACGCGGACGGCGATCGGCTTTTTTGGAGAATCCCTGTAGACTTTGCTGGTCCAGTCGTTTAACAACACACAGTAGTGCGGTCGACGGCGCTGTTACAGAGCGACCAGTCGGGTGTCTGGCATACGACTGTGGTGGGAAGCATATTTCGTTGATCGTTTATACGCGGTGCGCGTAGTAGTAGCTTAATTGACCGGGACGCGCATCACAAAAAGGTAGTGAAGGTTGGTAGGTACATGCGACTACCACTACCTTGCTTGCCAACGACAGCAGAAAACCGCCACCCGCGGAGGGACGGGATGGAAGCAAAAAGGGTTTGGGATCACCAGACTTTTGAGCCGTCCGAAGAGGTCTAACCACACCACACAAACGTACATCTGCGCGGGCAGGCAGGCCGAGACGATCGGTAGTCGCCGCGTTCCTCGTGTGGCTGAGTGGTTGACTGTGTTGTGTCTTTTGGTGGCTGCAAATGGGCAGAGATGCGGTGAAAATCACCTGCCGATCTGTGGCTGCGTCACACTGCGATCGTCAACCTTTTTTGCCTGGTTTTGCACTCTCTTTCCCATTCAGAAGGGTCCTGTTACTGGGGGAAACAGACGCGCCATAATGCAAGGACCGGAAATCCATTATCCACCATGCGGTCGTGGCAGACGTTGACGGGACATTCTGGGCGGTTGCGCGGCCAGCGGATGGAAACGGTCCCAGGGTGATGCAAGTTGGAGACCTGGAATATTCAAACGCAGAGTACATTACTGCGTACGGATGCATTGTACAGAAAGCATTGCGTCGAGTCTAGGATGCGGATACACAGCAGGAGATCCGTCAGAATTGGATGCTAAGAATAAAACGTCTGGCAAGGGCATCAATCAAGGCGATACGTACCGCAGTAGGTATCGTTTCCACGCTTCGCTCCCCTCCTCCTTTCCAGGTTATTCTGCCTCTTTCCCTTGGCGGCACCGAAGCTTACATATGCCTCAATGAAGAGAGGTACTTCTTCATACAAAGTGCAGCAGCACAATCGACACACAAAGTGAGTTGGTGAGGAAGGCGCATTTCGCTGGGTGGGTGTTGCCCCCAAAAGTCGCACCTTGCTTGTTTGTGGTTTAGTGGGCGCACCCTGCGGCTGGCGAGAGGTACGTACCGACCGAGACCATTGGCCGTCGGCGTCACCCCCACAGCAGGTCACTTTGAGTCCTCAGGTCGACCGTCGGTAATGATGGCCCTCAGCAGCAAGAAGGTAGCTTTTGTATGTAGCTCCCCGCAAAGCAGTACCTGGGGTCGTCATGTCCCGCGTCGCCTCGTAACCGCATCGGGGCTGGGCCCGACAGCCCTGGGACGACCTGAGCCCACTGTCCAGCAGCGGTCCTGCAGTCGGCCCTGCAGCGGTCCAGTCCAGCCCGCAGGCCAGGCCCTAGGGGAGTCCGCCAGTGGCCGCCCGGGGCTTTATTCGCTTCCATCCATGGAGACCTCTCTCCTCAGTCATCCACAGGCATTGAGGTCTCAGGGAAGTCTCCTCGGAGCAGGTCTCACGTCTCCAGGTGCCTCCCGCTGGACTGCCTTGGCTGCCCAGGTTCTCCAGCACCCTCACTGTGGCATTCCCCAAATTTGTGATGCCACCACCCCACCCCTTCCTCCCCCGTCCCATCCTCCCCAGCCAGGTGTGTGTGTGAGTGACAGAGTTCAGCATTCCTCTCCTCTGCAGTCTGTCCTCTCCGCTAACCCGCTCCTCCCGCGCTTTCCCTCCAGGGTTCACTTTTCTCATTTTCCCCAAAAACCTACCTTACCTCTCTGCCTCCCTGAACCAGTACCGAGAGAGAGCAGAAATAACAACACATCCCCGCTCGTCAACCCAGTCCGTCACCGAGGGGCCCTGCGAAGAAACACAAGAGCAACACCACTCTCGCCCGCGTGCCTTGCGACACCAAAAAGACCACACCCAACTACACCCTCTGCTCTCGACAAGATGGACCTCCAACTTGCCGCCCGTCAGGTCTTCGCCTGTATTCTTTAAGCCTACGCAAAGGGGAATATCTTCAACACGCCTCTTGTCTGTCTTTCCCCCCGAGAGGAAACGCCGACCTATCGATTACACACGCCTTTTAACATTCGCAACTGCAATCCTCCACCAAACCAACCGCTCTACCAATCTGCTCACACGACCACCTACCCTATCCTACTCTACTCCGAACCTGAAATCAAATCGACAAACCGACCCCCGCCATACCTATCCCCGCGATCCTTAACAAGTCACGCGAGCAAGTCTTCAAACCACGAACCCCTCTACGACGCCTCAGTCACCCCACAGTCGCATATGGCTGGTGAAATGGTCTCGAAACGAAGCACAAGAATGTATCTCGAGGACGCAGGCGGCCACCCCGAAGAAGACCCAACCTACAGGCCTGCGCGACGCAATTCTAAGCAAGACGACCTAATCCCCCTCGAGCTCTCCGAAAAATACCAAGCAAAGGGACCCTCGCGACAAGCATCGCGCGAATCCGTCGCAACCCTCGACGCCACGATGGACGTGTACGTACAGAAGCAAGTCATTCTGTCAGTGGAAGAAGAATTGTTGAAGGCCGCGAGTGGCGGCGAGAAGGGTGCCGTCCGGCGAGACGATGGACTGCTTAAGGTCGCGGACCAGCTCCAAGCGCCCCTAGTGGCCCCGATATCTCCGGGCATCGAGCGAGTCCTGCCCATCGATGGCCGACCCATCAATTTTGGAGTGGTTGTCCCGGGAGTTTACCGGAGTAGTTACCCTAAGCCCGAGGACTTTGGCTTCATCCGCAACCTCGGACTGAAGTCGATTGTGTAAGTTGAAACCCATTAAAAATCCTGATGACTCGACCCGACTGACACTGGAATAGCACCCTGGTTCAGAAGGACGATGTAGATGAGCCTTACACAAATTTCATGTCCAGCAATGGCATCAGGCATCATGTCATCAACATGAAGGGCACAAAGAAGGAGGCTATCCCCCTCCGCACAATGAAGGCCATCCTGAGATTGGTGCTCAACCGCGAGAACCACCCGGTTCTCATTCACTGCAACCATGGCAAGGTAATTTTCACACCTCACTGCCTCTTGGACACAGACACTAACAAGGTCGCAGCACCGCACTGGTTGTGTGGTTGGCGTGGTCCGCAAGGTGACCGGCTGGGAGCTGACCAACATTGTGGATGAGTACCGAACATACGCCGAACCCAAGGTCAGAGAGAACGATATCAAGTACCTCACAGACTTTGACCTATCAGATCTCTCCAATCTGTTCGTCCACGAGGCAAACATGAGGTTTCGCATACGCCATTTCGCGCGGGTCACCCTCTTCAGCGTCTTTGTTGTCTTTGTCTGGCTGCTGTCTGGACATAGAATGACAAACACGGCCAGGCGTGTCAAAGACGTGAGGTGACAAGACGCCTTGTCGCACCTCTCGGGCCCTTGCATAATTCTTGGCGTTGGGCGGATGTTTGCCGAAGTCTGGATTCGGTGGAGCGCGGCCAGTATCTCCGGGAGAAACCCGGGGCCTCATTGCTGGGCAACAATACCCCTTTTGCAACAACAAAGACAAGAGAGAAAGATTAGGCGAGTGGAAGAAAGGAGAGTTATGCAGTTCAAGACACTGCCGCGACACACAATTGATCGACAAAAAAAGTGGTCGACGTAACCGGGGAAAATTGGGACCAAAAAGACATCAGGGAAACCGAAAAAGATAAAAAAGTTTGGGACGTTCATATCTGCCTCGAGGTACAGCTATAGGCTGCCCGGGCCTGGGAATGGCGGCTGCATTTTCTTTTCCTTTGTGTGGATAGACAGAATATGGGGACTCATCAAGAGCTGAGATGTCTCCTTTTGGCGTTACACTTTTGACACTCGTGGGAGGACGGGGGGCTTCACCAGAACTGGCATTCAGTCAAGGACAGATTTTCCTTTCTCCTGCGTTGTACAATAGCTACAGTAGGGTGGTGGGCAGCCGAATCGCAAGAGCAAAAGACTCTTCTCCGCAGATATCACTGGCTTCATGTGATAATTGGCGTGTTTTATTACATTGGTGTTTTACAGTTTATGCTTATACAAATGCACTCTTGCAAAGGAGGCTCTTTATGCTATGTCCGGTCCCCAGGCCCCGTGGTTTGGAGCTTGTCGGAGCATTTCCCACGTCGATCCCTCCCTCCCCCAGACGCCGTTTCGCATGTCGACGTTTCGTCTCATGACTCGACGTCGCCCATTGTCTGATAGACATCGTCTGTAGTCGTACATCATCTCCCTACTGCCGCTAAACCCGCTCATCCTGGGCTTGGCATCTTGGGTCGTGTCAGCTCGAGGCGCGGCCAAGACCAGGCACAAATCCGAGGAGAAACGGGATCCCAAGCAAGCCAAGCTTCGTCGAAAATGCCTTGACTCTGATATGCTGCTCGCCTCCATTCATCAACAACAATTCCCCCCGCTCATGAGTCTCCGCCCCAGCGATTCCTCGCCTTCCTCTCGGCCTCGTCCTTCTTCCGGTCCCCGCTGGCGTAGACCCACGCGCCGGCGGCCGAGTTCGCGAAACCCATGCCGATGGCGACGCCGCGCACGGCGCCGCGGGCGGTGAACTTTGCGCGCAGCGGCTGGCGGCGGCGCAGGGCGAGGAGCGCGTAGAGGCCGGAGAGCGCGCAGGTGAAGCCGGCGCTGTCGGTGGGGAAGCCGGCGAGGTTGACGTAGCTGCTGAAGAGCAGGGCGGGCGCGAAGGAGAAGGGGAGCAGCTTGAGGGGCCGGCCGTGCAGCGCGGCGATGAGGATGGCGTGGATTGCGGGCGGGAGGGGGTTTGCTGTGGTGGTTGGTGTTAGTTGAGCGAGTAAAAGTGGTGCAGGAGGAGGGGTGGTTGCGTACTGCCGTACTCGTGGACGTTTTGCAGGAGGGTGTTCTTGGCCTGTTCGGCTGCTGGTGTGCTGCTGTCGGAGGCCATTGTGGTGATTTTGCGGAGGGCTGGTCTCCGTTCCGACGGGGCAATTGGAGGTGAAGACAGGAGTGAGTGTCGATGATGATGGTGGTGGTGGTGATACTAGACCCCAACCAATTCGTAGAGCTGCCAATTGCTCCCCACACCCAAAAAAGTGACGTGGGTTATCGATAAGAGATGGTCCCTGCGCACGGTTGACTAAGCTTAAGCCGCACCCAATCAGCTGGGCCGTGGTTTCTTTCAACTTCGACGTTGCGAGTGGCCTGGACTGCGACTGACTGGGGGCCTGTTGCTGCAGAGTGTCTTGTTCCTTTCTCCGGTAGGACGGTCCACGTTTTTTTTGCTCCCGCGAGACAACGGTCGACACGATCCTCCTCGACGAAATCCTAGATACCTTTTCCCTAGGAAACCGCTCCTAATTCACAACACGAAATATCGATCACGCGGGCTTTTGCGTGCATCCTCTTCTTCGGAAACCTGGCCGTAGCTGATGCGGGGAATCGTTCCGGAGCTCCCACGCAGCCTTGTCCAACGCCAAAATCGCCCATCTTGCCAGATAGGCCGCAAAAACCACCAATCATCATCGCATCAGCCGACGACACTGCGCGCGCAGCACCCCCCTCGACGACGTCACATACAACCCTCGCGACGATCGCACGGAAGTACCTCGTCGACGCTGTTTGTTTTCGTGCACTCGCAATCGGACCTGAATAATCGGTGAAAGCATCGACCCAGCAACAGCACCACCACCCGCAAAAACAAAACAAAACACACCACACCACACCACACGGCCACGATGCCGAGCGCAACAGCCTCGGGGGCCGACACGGGCGGCAACGCCGCCCGCAACCGCGAGCACAACCAGGGCAACCAGGGCCGCAGCTACACGGTGGAGCAGAAGGCGGCGGTGCTGCGGATCCGCAAGTGCTCGCCGACGGCCTTCTACGACATCCTCGGGCTCGAGGACGTCAAGACGTCGTGCTCGGACGGCGAGATCAAGAAGGCGTACCGCAAGCAGAGCCTGCTGACGCACCCGGACAAGAACGGCCACGAGCACGCCGACGAGGCCTTCAAGATGGTCAGCCGCGCCTTCAGCGTGCTGGGCGACAAGGAGAAGAGGGAGAAGTTCGACCGCTTCGGGACCGACCCGGACTCGCGCTTCGGGCAGGCGCAGGCGCAGAACCCGTTCAGCGGGTTCGCGCAGCGGCAGAGGGGCGGCGGGGGAGGCGGGGGAGGTGGTGGTGGGTTCGGCGGCGGGATGGAGGAGATGACGCCTGAGGAGATGTTTCAGCGGTTCTTTGGGGGTGGGTTTGGAGGCGGGCCGTTTGGTGGAGGTGAGAACTCACAATGTGCGAGTTTCAGAGACAATGGCTAATTGACAAAATGCAGGTTTCGACACGGGGCCGCAGTTCGTCTTCAACTTTGGCGGCGGGCCAGGGTTCCGGGTGCACCAGTTCGGCGGCGCGCGGCCGCGGAGGAGACCGCGCGAGGCGACGGAGCAGGAGGGCGGCGGCATGTCGACGGTCATGGGCCTGCTGCCGATCCTGCTGCTCTTCGTGTTCCCGCTCATCTCGTCGCTCTTCAGCGGCGGCTCGACGCCGTCGACGCCCAACATCGTGTACGACAACCCCAAGGGCGCGTACACGCTGCAGCGCAAGACGCCGAACCTGGGCGCGAGCTACTTTGTCAACCCGGCCGAGGTGGAGTCGTACACCAAGGGCAAGCTGGAGAAGCTGGACCGCACGGCGGAGATTTCCCTGGTGCGCACGCTGCGGTACGAGTGCGAGAATGAGATGATGGCGAAGCGGCGCATGTATGACGCCGCGAGCGGCTGGTTCTTCCAGGACCCGGACAAGATGCGCAAGGCGGACGAGTACGAGATGCCGTCGTGTAAGAGGCTGGACAAGTACGGCGTCGGAAGGGGTTGATTGGATCCGGGGATGAGGGGATGACGGATGAGAGACTACTAGAACTGTGAAATGAAATGTTGCCGCTCTAGGTTTGGGGGGGGCTGTTCCTTTTCCATTGGCGTTCTCGGGGCGAGGGGGTTCAATAGCATTTTATGTTGGATGCGACGGGCATTATTGACGAGGAAGTATTTTCCTTTTTTCCTTGTTTTATTATTATAACAGCTTTTATCTTTCCACTCCCCCCTGGAATTCAACAAACAAGCCCCCGTCTGCTGTTATGATAGAGTAGAAGTTGGTGGGGGAATTAATATCAGGTGAGGAGTAAACCTTTTGATGCTGTTACATGTCTGATAATGTACGATATGTCTTCGTATTTAAGCTGATAGTTACGGCGCAGCCCTTATGCAATGTTCCGTTGGTTGGGGGCATTGCCTACCATGTTTACAATTAACCTCCTCCGCAAGATTCGTTCCCGAGAACCCCCCTGAATTGGTAGACGTGCGGCGTGTGGCGTACATGCAGGAACGTCAGGTCCTCGGGAGTCCTCCGGAGCCCGTCCTCTCCGATTTGAGGTTCCGAGGTATGACCGTTGGACCGGTCCTTAGAAAACCCCCGCGAAAGACTACGACAAATTTACCCCCGCGGGCATGATTCGGGAAATGATTCACGGGCAGTTTGATTTATACCCTATACTAGTTGAGGAAAGTAGTACGGAAATGCTATAGGTTCCTGCCAGCAAGCAAACTATCTGAATATCGCAAAGTCGAAGGCGCCCTAGCCAGATGGACCAGCGGGACAGTAATGGCGTCGGTCGCGCGGCACGTGGCCGACCGGCGTGGCACCGCACGTACCCTGCTTGACACCAGGCTGGTGTCGTTGAGCTTGTGTCAGGAGTTTGAAGATGGCTACCAACTACCGACACGTTGGATGCCTTTCAGATAAGGCTTGATGTTTGTTCTTGATGTACCTGGAGTGGTTCTGATACGCCACATTCAGTCCTAGCCTGAATTTCTCATAACAAAAGTTGCCTCAAGGTCATTTTAATGGTCTCGAGAAACAAGCCGCAAATGGCGTATCACTTAAAATTTTCTTTCATATTCATTCCATTCCTCCGCATATTCTATCGGACTCTTGAGAATTTTTTAACAGTCACGCGTCAACCAATCGTCCGGGTAATGGTCATTTCATCGCTGGCATTTCAGACCTTTTGTGTTAAAAAGCAGCAGGACGCTTCTGGAGATAAAACTTGCCTTTGGAACAGAGAAACAACTTTGTCTTACGTGTTCAAGCGAACAAGCTTACCAGCGACACGCGTGTAATACAACCTCGATCTATTTGTGAAACCCCTTTACTTGAATGATTTGATACTTTCTAGAATAGAATCGTTACAGAATTGAGCCTTTGGATGATCATCTGTTGCTCAACTAAGGAACCCTTGCACACTGAGTTCCGAGGCCATTCTTACCAACAATCCAGGTGTTAGGGTATTGACCCCGCCGCCACGTATATAGATCGAAGCAAACTTAGCAGACATGCCGTGATGGCTTCTCCCTTCACATC